GTCCTGAAGAGACCTGCCTGGAGAAGAGATGGACGTTACTTATCTGTGCAATTCCCCCCTTCTGTAAAAATAAAGGAACAAATATTCATATTTATCCCCCTCAATGAGCCCTCAGAGATATTGGAGGGGAAGGAGGGAAGTCCCACTGTATTTTGCTGCATCCTTTCTCAGACGTTAAAGTTGCAGCTCTCATTTTTCTCTCTCGGCTTGCTATTAGTTGTACAAATCCCCTCAGGGTTCAGTGGTGGGACTCCAAGAAGAAATTGCTTTTATCTGGCAGTGGCTATTGTTGATGTTCAGCCTGTGCACCCAAAAAACTTCGGTAACGTGTCCCCTCATGTTTTTCAGAACTAAGCTGTGTGATAACAAGATGAGCACATACTGTGCTGTAGTCTGATTCTCACGTAACATAAGTAAGACAGTGTCAGCCTTTGGCATCTGCAAATTACAGAGAGTTTTTCATCCATAGGAAGGAGAAGAGATAATCAGTGTCAGTTTGCCACAGATTGTGTGGGAGGACAAGGGAAGGGGAGAAGTGAGGGGGAGACTATCATCAGTACAGAAGGGATCTGTAGTAACTTAACTCCAGATTCCTTTCATTATTTGAAGTGAAAAGATGAAAGAAAGAACAACAAAAAAAGTTGAAATGCAGCACTACCACACATTTAAGCCGTGCGATGTAGCGATAGCTACTGCAGGAAACAGACGCACAGACGTATGCCGTTGTTGATGCTTGTGCTGCTTCTCCTCGGATTTGCACCGAAGAAGCAGATTCATGTTCAAGTGGGCTAGTGAGATAAATCTGCCCCCACGTCCCTGCCTGACCCTACAAGCACTACTGAACGCGGGGCTTTGTAAGAGCAGCGCCCCCCAACTTTGACCCCGAGTCAGCTCCACGCAGGAAGAGCATATGCGCTTGCTCCTTGCTGAGAGCTTTGCCCTGCAGAGAAGCCTTCACACTGGGCACCTGCAGACTGTTTTTCACTTACGCAAAACAGATACCAGCATCTAGCAGGGTGTGTATCATGGCTGTGATGAGCGACAGTTTCATTCATCAGCCCCGTCTTGGGTTAAAAATTTGAACAAACAAAAGCAACAGGATCCCAACAGTGCTTGAGGTTGAGCCTTGGTCCTGGTGTGCAGAGCAGCCCGTGCCTGCTTGAAGAGGCGTTTCTGAACAGGGAGCGTAGCTCCCCGCAGCAGGCCGGCAGCGCTTCTGCGGTGCTCGCCTTACCTTCAGCTGGGAGGAAACAGCCCTCGCTCGAAACTCTGCTGTCGGAGAGGAAACCCCTGCTTCATCAGCTGGTGCCTCGCAGTAAACACAATGGCAGTCACAACAAATCACCTGGTAAAATGGGGGTAGAAATGAGTCAAAGCACACATTCATGTAGAGTACAATGCTACCAGTCATTACGCTCCTTAAAGGGGTTTAACTGCTGTTATTAGCGAGCAGACAATTTCACCGGGCAAGTTGTATTGCCCTGTCAGTAAACACCAGGAACACACGCGGCCTTGTCGAGTGCTGGGTGAAGCAAACGGTTCCTATCCGTGGCTCATTAGTATTGTGACCGGTCTCGGTCCCCTTCATTTGGACTTGTTGTTTCTTCTCCCCCTTCTTTCAGGTAATGGTGCTCTCCTCTGCACTCCTGACACCGCGTAGTGCTATTGAGTTGTTGTTTGCCACAGACCGTCTCCAGCCTGACACCGATATCTGATCTGTGGAGAAGATGCGTGAGTGCCTCGGCTGGCAATGCCAAATCCCTGGTCTGTCACTCCTCCCAATAGCCTTCCAAAAAAATGACATGTCCCCTGCTGCAGTTACGGCTCCAGCTGAAATGGGGTGAAGCAGCTGGGTATTGGGCTGCAAGGGAACGTGCAGCTCACAGGCAGCTCTGCAAAATGGTCCAGTTGTCCAGCAACAACTCCCCCCTCCTTCCTGGTAACACCGTGCGGTGCTGAATCACCCCAGCCCCGCTTTGCGCGGCAAGGATGATCGCTTGTAGTAATTCCCTAGAAAAGGAGCAGCTGAGGGCCAGGTGATGCTGAATTTGCGCTCCCCGAGCAGTACTTTTTTCTCTGAGTATTCCTGATGGTTTCGCTGGGGTTGCTTCTGGTGGGAAATGCTGCCGAGGGAGTGAAAGGCTAGCAAAATCCACCCTCTCTGTCATGTTACCTTGCAAAACACATGTGCCTTATACAGCATTAACCACCTCTGCTCTTACTTCGTCCCTCACCCCAGAGAGGCGATGGAGCACAGCCCTGATTTAGCCGGCAGAGCAGCTCGCAGTCCGGTGATGCTCTCCCAGTGGGACTGGTAGAGGCAGAGAAGCAGAGAGCCAGACTCAAGGGCTGGGTTACGTGGTTGCTTCTCAGCTTCCTGTTTCCTGCTCTAGTTTCTCCACCCACAGTCCCGGGAGAAAAGAGTGTTTCTCATGGCACACTTCTCCCTAGGTTTATGCAGGAGGACATATGGGCTGTGATGGTTTGATGATAACCCTGGAAGAATCCTCCCCTCACATGCATTTAAAAAAGAAAAAGAGAAAAAAATAAAAGCACGATCCCATTTTCAAGAGGCCACAGCAACAGATTCTTGAGCTAGATTTCTGAACAGCATGATTAGAGAACAGCTTTTATTTTTAATTTATGATCACGAAAGAGCCGCTATCAAATTCAGTTGTGTAATTTTTCCTCATAAAACTTTGATGCAATCTGTGATAAAAAAGCAGCAGCCAACAGAGATTGTGATTGCGAAAGACTTCCGAACTGCAGCATAAAATGGTGGAGCTCTAAAGCTGCATCCTCTTGCTTCATCCAAGGGATGCTAAGACTACAGCTTACACTGAGATGAGAATGTGAAATTGTAAGTGACATTCACTCTATCATAGCATTCTTTATTATGCCAAAGGAATAGATTAAATGGGAAGCAGCTTTTTAACCTTTGTTCACTAGCTAGCGTAAGTTCTCTTAAATGTTTATAATGGTCTTCAGAAAAGGGTGCATTTTGATTTAAATTCACTTTTGAGTGGCTGGAAGGAAACAATAGACTGATTATAAAGCATGGACAATGTTGCCTCTATGGAAAAGAGATTTATAAGAATGACTGTAGAATGGAACTTTGTGCTATAAAAAATGAGAAATATTACGCGATTGCAATGTTAAAAGCTCAAGAAATAGCTTGAACAGAGCAACTGGAAATCAAATAGCCAGTCTCTTGGTTTCTTTTCTGTCCTTCTGTACTGTTTAATCTTGGAAGATGGATGTTTTGTAAATTCTGTAATCAATAAAGCAATGCTCTTACAATGCCGAACCTCATCCCTCTTCTCCTTCTCTCCTAGTTCAAAGGGCTACACATGCCAGGACTGCGTATTCCTGAGACCCCTTTTTCTTTTGCACTATTTGTTGCCCCCAACAACCCAGACCTTCTGTCTTGAGAGGTGTCCTAGAGGGGTTTCCACGCTCTGCTGGTAGCAGAAAGGCTGTCCTGCATCCAGTGGCCGTTGCTGGCCAGTAACCTCAGGTACTCCCACCTCTGAGATGCTGCCGCTTTCCTGAGATGACGGAGGCTGGCAGTTGTGATCCTCTCTCACTCACCTTTCACCAGATGCTCTCAGGTCTCTGACTGGGCCGTCTGAGGACATATTAATGAGAAGGGAGTGAGTTTAAGCAGACACTGGTCCTTTTGCACTTCCTACAGGTCAAGCAGCTCCTCTTACTGAAGCAGAGACTAGTTTTCCAAGTCATCATCCTCCCCCTGCACACACACACACACACTTTGGAGGAATCTTTTCAGCCAGTGGGGCCACAGTTGTGGCAATGGGTGCTGGGACTCAGCCACCAGCTTATACTCAGTAGCTGAAGAGATGGTCACAAGAGCTGTTCTAGGCTAAGACTGGAGTGGAGCCCTTTCAGTCCCCCTAGTGTCACAGTCAGCTCCTTATTTGTAGCAAGTAGCTTTAGTAGCTACGCATAGCCTGTGCTCGGGGAAGAGGCTGGGAGGGTGAGGTGTCTCCTGCCAGTCGCACGTGAGCAGGACCAGCATAGAAAAGATTTTTCTTGGGCAGGTCCAGGACCACAGCAAGGAGCGTCTGAGCCCTCTGCACGTGGCACTGAGCAACACTGAAACAGTATAAGGAAGAAAAAAAAGACAAGGTCAGCCTCAACAAATGGGTTTACTACTACATTAGTAAGCTAAGCAGGATTTGGTAATAAGCTCAGACTGGATGGCCAAGCTCGATTTTGTTCATAAGTCTAGTCCTAAGTCACTTGGCTACTAGCTCACGGTCAAAAAGCATCTCATCAGCAGGGCATTGTCACAGTTTCCCTATGCCTGCTCCATGCAAACCAGGTGAGCCTGAGCACAAACAGCCTCCTCAGGAAGGCTCTCATAAAGCTACTTTTAGCATGAATAAAATGATTGAAGGCTTACAGTAATTTGATTTAAGTTCTGCATTGTCATATAGCTCTATATATAAAGCCACTTTTTTTTTTAATAAGAAAAGCAGGAGTCACTTAAAGGACCAGTGTTCTTCCAGATTTTGACCTACCTTACATCATTCTTTTCTTACTGGAGGGTTTTGGTTTTTTTTTTTGACAAGGGGATATTAAGAACCCCATTTTAATTTGAAAGGTCTCTGCCTTACTCAGTTCCTCTCCTAAAAGGAGTTCTTAAAAGGAAGTTGTAAAGCACTTGTGAGAGCTTCCCCCACCCCCCTGATTTATGCTAATAAAGCAACAGCAGAGGCAGGAACAGCCTTCTGGCTGTTTCTGCAAGGGATGTTAACTACCTTGAGAAAACTGTTACTTTGTCTCAACATTTCACTGATTATCACCCATTGGTTTTCACTCACCAAGAAGACACAAGAAAACATACGATTCAAAAATTTAATGTTGAACCAGGCAGTAAGAATGAAAAGTCCACTCCCTCTGAGGAGTAACTGTACACAAAATAAATAAGTTACAGTTTAAACAAAAGCACAACTGGCTTCAATAAAGTGCATGTGTATAAGGCCTTTAGCCTGTGAACTCCATTGGCTCAATGTAAAAAAAAAAAGTTGTATACAAGTCTGCCACCTGTGTTTAAGGATGAACGGGGACTGGCTCAGCTCAGAACAAACCACCAGCTTCATCGCCTGGAGCCAGCCATGCTTCCCACCAAGCTGAATCACAGCCACATTCCTTCTGTGCCTACTGCACAGAGAGAGACGTGCCTTACACTGGCAGCTGTTAATGGACTATCACTCCAACTCCACGCTCAGAAGCTCCATGTTGGATCATTTAGTCTGGACAGTATTTTTTTCAGACAGTAAGAAAAAACCCACAAGTTATTTGTAATTAGATATGTTTACACCCTGTGGACAATAGTTTTGCATACAAGGAATCTGGTCAAGTTGTCAGCAATAACATAGCTAGTAAAAAAATAAAGGACCATGGTTTACAGTCTTGATACCCAGTCGTGTCCACATATTTTACACTTATCTTTACAGAGCAATATCATGTTTGCTTATTTGTTTTGCAATACATGGGAAATAAACAGTTCTACTGTGCAATAAAATTAAACAGATAGATCATGCTGTCCTTCATCCAAGTGAAAAAGACTTGAGCGGTTACTTCTGAACAGTGAACTGCAGTTCAGGGTGTTGCCCTGCTCAAGTACAAGAAGTTGAGAGTTACCGCTAAAAGGTTGTTTCTGCACAAGCGTTAACTCAAATCCGTCCCACTGGAGAACAGGCAAACTGAAGGCTTGTTTCATTTACTGGAAAGTTCCTTTTCCAAATGAAAATACTTGTAGAACAAGTCACATCCTAGAACCATTTCAAGAGTTTGGGGTTTGGTGTTTTTTTTTTTTCCTCCTTCTTTTCCAACCTGCCATTGTTCCTTTTTTAAGCAACTGCTTGTTTCTACAGCCATGCAAAAGGCTACCTGAGCCATCCTTCTTTCACAATGCCTTGGACTCTAGATGTGCCAGTGTTAAACACCCCAGGTTTCAGTCTCAGGCTAAGCACCAGGAAGACCAACACCTCTACTGTCAAACAGAGGTGACAGTCCTCACTTTGGCAGACAAAGCTTGCTTAAACCTTCTTTTCAGATCCTGCATGTTGGGCGATTTTGGCCGTGGAATAAGAGAGGTTCTCCTTCTCTCGGGGGTGCTGGCTGTTTGCTGTTTACTGACTTCTTTACAGAGGAGATGGAACGCATTGAAGACATCGTTATAGTTTTCACTGACAGATACTTCATAGAAAGTACAACCCAGCATGTTGGCCAGCTGAAGTCCGTGCTGCGGCTCCACCTCTTTGATATGCAAGAGGTCAGCTTTGTTTGCCACGATGACAACAGGGACTGCGTTTCCTGGATGCAACTGTCGGACATGATGGTACAGGTGACTGAGTAGCTCGTAGCTCTTATAGTCTGTGATGGAGAAGACAATCACCAGGGCATCTGCCCAGCGAATGCATCTGTTCAGCTGGTCATTACAATCCAGATTGTGTTCATGGATCTGAAAAAAAATGAATGGTCTCAAATTAGATAGCTGGAGTCATAAAAGATCAAAAGGAACCTGTCTTTAAGAGCCTGTAAAGCCAAATAGCATTTTACAGCTTCAGACATATATATTTGCATTTCACATTGTAAGTACAAACTTAATCTGAGCATGGCGAATAAATGCATGTTGATTCAGCTGCAAGAAGCTGGAATTTAACACTGGAGTTTGCTATACTCAAATGGAAAATTGACCTGAGTAGTTCTGCATGCAGAGAAAGACTTTGTAGTTCCACAGAATGGGAAATTAACTGGCTAGACAGTAAGTCTGGGGAAGCAAAGATATGAGCTGGAAGCATTTAGACCTGGAGCGTTGCCCAGTTCAAAAAGGCAACAATCCAGCATTACTCAGGTCTATACATTAAAAACTTTAACTTGTAACACACTAATGAGCACAGCTACAACACAGCAGCCTTTGCTTTCTAGCACACCCATTTACAAAGCCTGTTGGGCAGTGGTCATGACATTTTCTTCCACATGTACCTTATTTGCACAGAACTGTTTCTGGGTTTGTGTCTAATGTTCCAAACACACAGGCACACGATGCTTAAGTAATTCAGCTGCTTAGAAGTAATGGGCCTCCAACGTACAAATGATTTATCGAAACAGCGAGCTGTCTTCTTTTACTACCAGCATACTACAGGCATGCAAGACATCAGGCTTCACTGGTTATAACAGAAGTTACTGCCTCTCCCACACACAATACCAAGCTCCAAGACGGGCCACAACAAGATGCTGCACACAGAAGTGGACACGCGCACACACAAATTTAGGGATGCTTGGGTGAACTGCGCAGCTGCATCTAACTCACCTGAACTCCTGGAGTGTCTTGCACTTGAATAGCCAACATCTCTCCATCTATCTGGATGTGCCTGCTGTAGAGATTACCTGACAAGAACACCAACAGGTTCACAAGTACAGCCACCACTCCACACCCAGAGAAATGCTGCTTCTGCTGCCCATTAGTTGTGCAAGAAAAGCTATATGGCTATTTATGAAGTGAGGGACCAGTGTTGTAAGGGGGTTTTGTGCATAACAACCCATAAATTTATGACTTTACTAACAGCCTGGGATTTAATTTCACATTGACTTGTTCTGAGGCCTCGTATTCGGTGTTGTGCAACTTGGAAGCTAATCACTTCTTAAAGATTGTCTTGACTTAGACGATAAAGGTTAGGTGTGCAAAATAGCCAGCTATTATAGAAAGGCAGTTTGTCATGCCCTTTCACAAACCATTTCCCTGAAGAGCTCTCTGCTAGCACGCCTGCCATTTTGGTTTTTCCATTTGTTTGGCTTTTTGAAGTCATCTCCTCGACAGAATGCTGTATGGTTTACATCAGTTTAGAGTGCCGGCTGTACTACACCGGGGCAAGCACAGAACATCCCTTCTTCGCTTTCCCCATCAAGCTGGCACTGCCAGGACCATGCAGCTGCGGGCATTCGCTTTCGCACAGGGCAGCATCAGGTTTACAGGATGGTTTTGCAGTTTAGCTGAAGGGCTTCTCCCAAGGGGGCCGCTTCCACAACAGGAATTAAATTCTCTTCGGTAACAGATGCAGCGCGGGTGAAGCAGCGACGGCCAAACGGCCTGCCCGCCTGCGGGGGCGGCGGGCACCTTCCCGAGGCCCGCACCG